AAAAAAAAAAAAAAGAAAGAAAAAGAATTGATTTTAATAATGGCTGGGCACAGTGGCTCACGCCTGTAATCCCAACACTTTTGGAGGCCAAGGCGGACAGATTACTTGAGGTCAGGAGTTCAAGACCAGCCCGGCCAACATGGTGAAACTCCATCTCTAGAAAAACACAAAAATCAGTCAGGCATGGCAGAGTACACCTGTAGTCCCAGCTGCTCAGGAGGCTGAGGCAGGAGAATCACTTGAACGCGGGAGGCAGAGGTTGCAGTGAGACAAGACTGTGCCACTGCAATCTCAAAGAATAAAAAAATAAAAATAATTTTAATAACGTATCATACTTATCCCAACAGGTTGTAAATATTACCATTTCAACATGAAATCAATATAAGAAAAAACTACTGAGATATTTTACACAGGTCATTTCACATTAAGTCCTCAGAAGCCATCAGGGTAGCTCATATACGTAGCACATTTCAATTTGGACAATTTGCACTGAAAATAGCTGATCTGCACTTAAGACTCATAAAATACACAGTTGACGAAGTAGACTCACACAGCCAAGTTATTCCAAACATAAATGCTTTCTAATAATGAAATCAAGTTTTTAAATCTGCATTTTAATTAATAAAAATTACACAGATAAAATATTCAGTGTCTCAGCTATGCTGAACACACTTCAAGTGCTGATCAGCAAACTGTGTGCGTGCTAGCCAGACTGGCCAGCACAGCTGCAGCTGAAAATGCACAGCTGCAGGTGAAACAGGCCAGTCTCTCTCGGCAATCAGGAGACAAGGAAAACGGGCACTGCCCTCATGAGAACAAGGGGCCCACAACAAGAGCCTTGCACTCACCCACTGCCAAAGACACCTTCAGCCCATGAGACAGTCTCCTCAAAAAAGGGAGAGGCATTCAAGAACTTAGTAAAGCACCTCTAGAAGATACTCACTTTAAAACTTTGCATATAACTTTACATTTTAATTACAAAGTTTTGAACATCCATTTTCTCATTTGATTCTTAATTAACTCTGCAAAAGTACACAGCTTTTATTCTTACTCACACAGTTAATGCGTTGGAAGTTCACTTGTGTGAACGAGCCATTGCAAAGAAAATTTTCTGAGAACAAATCCCAAGCTCCTTCCATTAACACCAACTATAGTAAGCTGAGTTTTTATTTCCATTTGTTTAAGACCACAATGTGTGAACTATGCATCATTAGATTACAAAAACAAAAACAAACATCAGGAAAGTATTTTTCGAAACAGCGTTTACTAAAATCTATGATAGAAACTAGCTCTAAAACTTCCTGTTTCAAAATTTTACTGTGTGTCCACTAAGTTCGTTTTTCTGGCTGTGGACAGCCGGCCCACCCCACACCACAGGCCCAGCCCACACTGCAGGCCCACCATGCCCCCATGCAGGCTAGCTGAGAGCAACAGCCACTGCCCAGGGCCCCCGGCTCTGTGCTCAGCTGCCCGAGCCAACCTGCCAGGGCTCTGCTTTCTCCACATGTAGAAACTAAAGCCAGGAACCCGTGTTTACGAAAAGCAAGATTTTTATTAAACAGACGTACAAATATGTTTCCTTTTCTAATAAATTTCTTTCACGAATCACCTTGCTTTTTTGCTTTTCTGGAATGACCATTTTTAGACGACACTGTCTGACCGTTTGGCCTCTGCCAACATGAGCCTCTGTTCACAGGTTGAGTCTGGCCTTCTAAAACAATATTCACAATTCTTTCACATTGGCTTTAGTTTTGAAAAGAAAAGTTATCTTACAAAGTAGTCTGTATAACTCTGTAATACATAAAGTATGGCCATGATACAACCAGTTTTAAAAATAACCTTACCATGAGATTTTTATTTGTATCCACCTGCTTATTAATCAGAATCTTTGTACATGTTTGCTGCACACCCCAATTTCTCTTCTGTGAAAATCTTTTGAATATCATCATACCCCCCAACCTCTCCTCTCACCTATATTTAAAAGGGTCTGTTCTTTATCCTAAAATCTACACTACGTAATTTTCAGAATATTTCTTCAATAACCAAACAAAATTTTTGAGATCCTTGTGCTAGATTTCACTATCTGAATATGAAAACCAAAAATTATGAATTAAAATACAATACAGGCCAGACACAGTGGCTAATGCCTGGAATGCCTACACTTTGAGAGGCCAAGGCAGGTGGATCACCTGAGGTCAGGAGTTCGAGACCAGCCAAACCAATATGGTAAAAACTTGTCTCTACTAAAAATACAAAAATCAGCCAGGTATAGCTGTGGATGCCTGTAGACCCAGCTACTCCGGAGGCTGAAGCAAGAGAATTGCTTGAACCCAGTAGGCGGAGGTTACAGTGAGCCAAGATCATGTCACTACATTCCGGCCTGGCGACAGAGCAAGACCCTATCTCAAATAATAATAGTAATAATAAGTAAATAAATAGGCTGGGCATGGTGGCTCACGCCTATAATCCCAGAACTTTGGGAAACTGAAGTGGGCAGATCACGTGGGGTTGGGAGTTTGAGGTCAGTTTGACCAATATGGAGAAATCCCGTCTCTACTAAAAATACAAAATTAGCCAGGTGTGGTGGCGCAGGCCTGTAATCCCAGCTACTCGGAGGCTGAGGCAGGAGAATCACTTGAACCCGGGAGGCAGAGGCTACGGTGAGCCGAGATTGTGCCATTGCACTCCAGCCTGGGCAACGAGAGCGAAACTCTGTCTCGAAAAAAAAGAAAAAAGTAAATAAATAAAATACATCTAAACTAAACAATTTACCTAAGAAGCTGTTGTATGAGCTGAACCAGAGGCAAACACTGTTTGCCAGAAGACTCATAGATCCCCGTATTAATAAGGTCTTTATCCAATGGAGTCCTGCTTCTATGAAATGTTGAGGCATTCACTTCCTGTTCATCAATTTCTTTTTCCTTCTGTGCTTCTTTTTTGGCTTCAATATCCTGTAATTCATAAACAGAAGTTGGTTACAAGTGATCTCATGAGCAGGTGTGAAGGTACACAGGCTGGCTCAGCCCTGATCCCAGTGCCAAGTTATACCAGCCTCTGCGTTCTAATGCACACACCTACCCACAGGCCCCCACCTGCCCTGTTGGAAACCCCAACTCAGTTTTGCAGTTTCTAAACAGTGCTTTCTTTTTACAGATCCAAGGCCCAGGATGCCTCAGCTGATGGTCTCCAGCCTCCTTCTGGGAAGTCCCTGAAATCTTGAACCCTGCTACCGGCTCTCACACACACCCAACGTGATCTGCCCCACACACACAGCATCCATCTGCTTTGTGTGAGTGAATCTGAAAATCATTCTCTGAGGCAAAACAGGAAAGAGTATATACTATACAGTTATGTTTGTGCAACATTCAGAGCAGGCAAAATAAATCTAATCTGAGGGCAGGGGAGTATCCTGGCTGCAAGTACCAAGGGGCACAGGGATCTTTCTGGGTGACGGAAATGATCTACATGATGAACAGGTTACCTGCTAAATTCACTGAAACAGACAACATGCAGCATTTTATCACAATTAAATATCTCAATACTTTTTAAAATTAGTACATAAAATAAGTTAATTAAAAACAGTACTCAGATGTGACTAAAAGATTGGTGTTTTACTGTTTTCAGTTATCCTCCACATGTGTGAGTGTGGCATTTCCGATCTCAGCTCACCACCAGGTGAGCCTCGAAGGCCATACCTGGATCTCTGCAGTGATGGCTGCATGTAAGGCTGACTCCAACCCTCCGTCAGCCATCAAGCTGCCCACCAGAAGATCAATCATGAATCGACGGCCTGGACTTATGTTCACGTCACTGCCTGAAACTGAAATAGACAAAGTGTGTGTGCCAATCTGAGTGAAACACCATCTCCTCCCAGCATCCTGACCCGCAAACACTGCTGTTCCTTCCCCAGTCCCACCTGCACAGGGCAGGAGAGCAGAGAGTGCCCGGGCTCGCTCCTCTGCGGTGGGCAGCAGCACGGACCAGCCACTCTGCAGCACGGCCTGGGCAGCTGACTGCACAGTGCCCAGCACACCTGCGCTGCTGGCCAGGGTCACCACCGTCTGCTTCAGGCTGTTCAGGAGAACGCTGCCCAGACCTAAACCAAGGAATTCCGGGTCAACCTGGTGACTAATGGCAGCATGCAACTGAAAGGAGAAAAACAATTTTCACTTAGAACCCTACAAACAAATGAATTTCAAAGTCTTATAAACACTGAGTAAAACTCCATCTGAACTATTATTTAAATAGACAAAATAACTTCTCAGTTTACGTATTTTTAAAAACTGGACTTGAAAAACTCTTACCCACCATAGCTGAAGTATTTTCTAAGAGGAACTCTTCTAACTCCACTATAAACATGTACACAGAAAAGCTCAAGATCAGCAGATGAGCTAAACAACCAGCAACAACAACCTCCATCCCCGCCCCAACGATCTGCACCAAACACAGAAATAACGGCTACAACGTCACCAAAACAGTTGCCACAGTGCTGTAATACCAGCACTTTGGGAGGCCAAGCTGGGAAGATCACTTGAGCTCAGGAGTTCAACACCAGCCTGGCCAACATGGTGAAACCCCATCTCTATAAAAAATCAGCCGGCGTGATGGTACACACCTGTAGTCCCAGCTACTTGGGAGGCTGAGGCAGGACTTGAACCTGGCAGGTCAAGGCTGCAGTGAGCCAAAACTGCACCACTGCATTCTAGCCTTCCAGCCTGTGTGACAAGGTGAGGCCCTGTCTCAAAAAAAAAACCCGCCAAAAAAAAAGAAAAGAAAAAAAAAAAAAAAAAAACTGCTAAAAATTAGATTGCAGAGCTAAGAGTATACAAGGAAACTCTTGAAGCACAAAACCAAAACTCACATGGGCACACACAGCAGGAGTCAAGAGTCCTGGGCTCTGAAAGCAGAGCCAAGCCGTTGGGCTTCAGAACTACCTCCCACATGGGAATGCACACAAGGACCCACTAAACCTGAGCTTCCTGCAGAAGGCTGGGAGCCATTCAGAATCACCTGCCTGTCAGCCAGCCTCAGCCAGGAGGCAACACAGTGCCTGTCCCAGGCTTTGGATAGCAAGAAACCCGACAGAAATCAGAGACCCAGCCCTGCCCTGTGACTACAAGTGAAATCAAAAGCATATCACCCATCTAGGTATAGGTATCACAGGTCAGGAAATGAGCATCAAAATTCACCTAGAGTCTTTGAAACCCACAGAACCCCAGAGAGGCAAATGTAAAACCATCCTTTGGGACACCTCGACAGTCTGACACGCACAAGGCCACACTCCATGGCACTAACCAGAAGAGAAACATCACTGCAAACCAGGAGGAGCGGCAAACACCTGGGGCACACCCATGCAAATGCCATGACGCCACAGATTGGTGATAAATGAGTGCTACAGAGGACCCTGAGGAGGAGAAGCGCACTCCAAACCTCCGCTCATTTCATTACTGCAACTAAACACTACATTCAGTTGTGTGCTCCCTATAAGCCAGGGCACAAAGGGGAAGGGCTGGAAGAGGAACATGATGGGTTGTTACACAGAAATCATTGTGTAATCAAAGGGAAAAATTACTATGTCGAGAAAAACTTGGTTCTTGTCATTAAGTCACAGGGTTTTATTACAAAGACAAAGAAAACACGATCATCAAAGATTCCAGCTTTAGTTTTACAAGGGAGAAGAGTTTTGTGGCTTTATTTTGACCCTAGCTATCACCTTCACGGTGAGGAAAGGAAGGCAATGCTGTAGGGAGCCAGGCTTACTGAGCAGATCAAGCTTGTCCAACCCACAGCCTGCGGACAGCCTATGGCCCATGAGGGCTTTGAACGCAGCCCAAAGTAAAGTTTCTTAAAACATTATGAGACTTTTTTTTTTTTTTCCTGCAATTTTTTAAAGCTCATCAGCTACTGTTAGTGTATTTTATGTGCAGCCCAAGACAATTCTTTTTCTGGTGTGGCCCAGGGAAACCAAAAGACTCCTAGAGCAGGGTTTCCACAGCACAGAGGAGAGACAGGCCAGCACTGGTCTCTCAGCTGAGTACTGTCTCTCTCCATCACCTGTGATCTCACCCAGTCATTTATCCACACACAACAACAGCAAAACAGTAAGAATGCCAACAAACTGATTACAGTACCATATACGCTCTTCCTGCATGCCAAGACTGCCTTCCAGGACAAATATAAAGGAGTCAGATCAAGTTTTTTAAGCCTCACACACATTATTAGCATATTATAATCTTACTTTACAATACTTCACCAAACAGGCTAAAACCCATACCCTTCAAAACACATCAGCCTTCTTCCAAATCCCAAAGGCACTTATAAAAGGAGCAAAAAGAAGAGAAACCGTGAATACCTGAAGTCGCAGAAGATTCAGCGTTGCCACGGCCATGCACTCTTTCTCCTGCGGTGGGGGCCAGTCCACGGAACCATCCATCCCCTCACTGACTTGCCGCAGCAGAAGATCCAGCTGCTCAAAAGTCATTGAGCAAATGTCCACCACAAAAGGGACACGGAGTCCAATGGACCACTCGGAACACGACGACCAAGCAAAGCTCTAAGAGGAAACACAAGAATCTAAAATGATCTCCAAATGCAGTTGCTGGTCTTTCCAAAGGCGTCACCAGCATGTATGACGGAGCTGCCTTACATTATCACGTATCATCCCTCTAACTGCCCACGCCAAAGGCATTCATGGTTGTCTAGCTCACACACTATCAGCTTCCAATTTTCTCACCCAATTCACTAGCCCCATCTCATTTGGCCATACCTAAAAAAGTAAAAACATTTTTTTAAAGTATTTTCACTCTCAAAATGATTAATGCACATTAATGAATGGCAGTGAGGGTCTATATCCACTTGAAGTGGTATAATAGCAACTCTAACTAGACAATGAATTGTTATATGCACATAATATACACACTACCCTTCATAGTACAAGTATGAGGGAACAAGTAATCAGCAAGGATCTAGAAGAAAGGTAGAACACCATCAATAAACTAGATCTAATTTATAGAACACCCAACAACAGCAAAATACATGTATTTTGGGGGCACATACAGAATGTTCACTAAGATAGAACACGTCCTTAGACATAAAATAAATTTTAACAAATTTTTAAACAATTAAATCATTAAACAATTAAATCACATACAGTTTGTTCTCCAACCAAATGATATCAGACTATAAATCATTAACAGAACAATCTGAAAACACTTCAAAATTAAACAACATACATAATAATCCATGGGTCAGGCAGGGCACAATGGCTCACGTCTGTAATCCCAGCACTTTGGGAGGCTGAGGCAGGGGGATCACCTGAGGTCAGGAGTTTGAGACCAGCATGGCCAACATGGAGAAACCCCATCTCTACTGAAAATACAAAAAAATCAGCCGGGTGTGGTGGTGGGCGCCTGTAATCCCAGCTACTCTGGAGGCTTAGGCTGAAGAATCACTTAAACCCAGGAGACAGAGGTTGCAGTGAGCCAAGATCATGCCATTGCTCTCCAGCCTGGGTAACAAGCGTGAAAGTCCATCTCAAAAAAATAATAATAATCCATGGGTTAAACAACAATTCTCAAGAAAAATCAGAAAATATTTTGAACATAAATGAAACGTACCAAAATTTGTGGGTGTATATAAAGCACTGCTTAGAGGAAAATTTATAGCATCAAATGATTATATATTACACAAAAAGGCAGGTCTAAATTGGCAATCTAAGCTTCCACCTTAAGAAACTAGAAGAGTAAACACAAAACAAGCCAAAGGGACAAATGGCAAAATAAAAGCAGAAATCGATGAGCTTGAAATCAAGAAACCAAGGGAAAAATTAGTAAAACTAATAAAAGATTGCTCATTGAAAAGTTCAACAAAATTGAAAAACTCTAGCAAAACTGACAAAAAAACAGAAAAGATACAAATTATCAATATCAGGAATGAACGAAGGTCTGCAGACCCCACAGACTTCAGAAGGTTAGTAAGAGAATACATAGGAAAGCGTGACACACAAAAATCAGACAACTTAGATGAAATAAAGCAATGTCTGAGTTACACAAACCAGGAAAATCTCCCTAGAAAGAAGGTAACCTGAATAGTTCTGTATCTGTTAAACAAATTTAATTTGTAAAATCTTTTTTTTTTTTTTTGAGATGGAGTTTTGCTCTTGTTGTCCACGCTGGACTATAATGGCACAATCTCAGCTCACTGCAACCTTGGCCTCCCCGGTTCAAGACAGTATCCTGCCTCAGCCTCCCAAGTGGCTGGGATTACAGGCACGCACCACTACACTGAATTAATTTTTTGTATTTTTGGTAGAAAATATAGCCATATTAGCCAGGGTGGTCTCAAACTCCTGACCTCAGGAGATGCCTGCCTCAGCTTTCCAAAGTGCTGGGAAGACAGGTGTGAACCACCCCCCCCCCCCACCGCCTGGCGTAAAATCTTTTGAGAAAGAAATCTCCAGGCTCACATGGATTCAAAAACATTTAAAGAAGAAATAACACTGATTCTACACAATCCCTTACAGAAAATGGAAAAGGAGGGAACACATGCCAATACTTTGTATAAGGCCAGCTTTCCCCTGACAGAAAGTCAAATAAGAGAGTATAATACAAAGAAAGAAAATCACAAACCAACATCCCTGATGAGCATCAACAGAAAAATCCTCAACATGTCGGCAAGCAATATAGAAATAGAATAGAGCCGGGCGCAGTGGTTCACACCTGTAATCCCAGGACTTTGGGAGGCCAAGGTAGTGGATCACTTGAGGTCAGGAGTTCAAGACCGCCCTGGCCAACATGGTGAAACCCCATCTCTACTGAAAAAAAAACAAAACAAAACTTAGCCGGGTGTGGTGGTACGCGCCTGTAATCCCAGCTACTCAGGAGGCTGAGGCAGGAGAACTGCTTGAACCCAGGAGATACAGATTGCAGAGAGCTGAGATTGCACCAAAGCACTCCAATCTGTGTCAAAAAGATTCTGTCTTAAAAAAAAAAGAAAGAGATGCCGGGCGCGGTGGCTCAAGCCTGTAATCCCAGCACTTTGGGAGGCCGAGGCGGGTGGATCACGAGGTCAAGAGATCGAGACCATCCTGGTCAACATGGTGAAACCCCGTCTCTACTAAAAATACAAAACATTAGCTGGGCATGGTGGCGCGTGCCTGTAATCCCAGCTACTCGGGAGGTTGAGGCAGGAGAATTGCCTGAACCCAGGAGGCGGAGGTTGCGGTGAACCGAGGTCACGCCATTGCACTCCAGCCTGGGTAACAAGAGTGAAATTCCGTCTCAAGAAAAAAAAAAAGAAAGAGAGAGAGAGAGAGAAAGAAAGAAAGAGAGAGAGAGAGAAAAGAAAAGAAAAACAATGAAATAGAGTAGTAAATTATGGCCAAGTGGTGCCTATCCCAGTGACACAAGGCTTGATCAGTATTTAAAATCAGGCAGGGTTCACTGTCTCACGCCTGTAATCCCAGCAATTTGGGAGGCCAAGGCAGGCAAATCACTTGAGCTCAGGAGTTCAAGACCAGCCAGAGCAACACAGTGAAACCTCATCTCTAAAAAAGAAAAAAAAAATTTTTTAAGAAAAAAGTAAAAATCATCAATGTAACACACCATACTAACACACTAAAGAAGAAAAACTGCATGGCCATTTCATTTGAGAAGATTAGAAGCATTTAAAAATTTTAACATACATTCAGGACTTTTAAAAAATCTTCTAAAAGGGGGAATTAAAGAAATTTCCTTAGGCCAGGTGCAGTGTCTCATGCCTGTAATCTCAGCACTCTGGGAGGCCGAGGCAGGCAGATCACATGGTCAGGAGTTCAAGACCAGCCTGATAACATGGTGAAATCCTGTCTCTACAAAAAATACAAAAATTAGCCATGCATAGTGGCACCTGCCTGTAATCCCAACTACCTGGGGGCCAAGGCAAGAGAATCCTTTGATCCCAGGAGGCAGAAGTTGCAGTCAGCCAAGATCATGCCACTGCACTCCAGCCTGGGTGACAGAGCAAGACTCCATTTTTAAAAAAAAGAAAGAAACTGCCTTAATCTGATAATAAGGCATCTACATAAATAACCAGTTTACATCACTGTGGAAGGTGAAAGACTGAATTGCTGTCCCTACAGTCAGGAGTAAGGCAGGGCGCCCACTGTCACCTTTCCTATTCAGCTTCACACTGGAGGTCCTGGCCAGGGCAGTCAGGCTGGGAAAAGACATAAAAGGCAAGCAGGTTGGAAAGGAAGAAATGAACTGCCCCTCTATACAAATAGTGTAACCGTCCATGAAGAAAACTTAAGGAAACAGCAATGAAGCTCACAATAAGTGAGTTTAGCACAACTGCAGGACATAAAAACAACCAACAAAAATCAGCAGTATTTCTATACGCTGGTCATGAACAACGGGAAACCAAACCCTAAAAATATCAAACAAACTCTATGTTCAGTACCTGGGCAGGCCCACAGGCAATTCCCACTATGTGTTTGGTGTCCAGTCCCGGCAATGCTGCAGGTTCTGGCTTGGTCACGCGCAAGGTGTCAAAGTGCTGGCACTGGTCGTTGCTCCCCCAGCTGTGGACCTCGCTGTCCTCAGTCAGAGCCAGGCAGTGGGTGGAGCCCGCAGCCACATCAATCACTTTCTTCCCTACAAGGAAAGAGGGATGCATATGCAGCTTCAAGCCTTCGACTTCTGTTGCAAGAAAGATATTTCCAGTAGGCCATTCAGGTCAGAAAGCTTTTAATATTAAATTCTTGAGGATAATCTGTCACTTTAATATTAAGCACAATTCATTTGCTTTTGGTATGCTGTTAAAACCCCTGTATTCTGTCAGCTACAATTTGAAAGGACCAACAGCCTACAAATATTATAAAGCTAGGATACGAAAAGGATCTGTTCTTTTTTCTCCTCCTTATTCATATTTTCCTCCAGAAAGAAACAAGGTGTTTTTAATTAACTATCAGATCACATTCTCCCACCCCAGATATAACAATGCACAGTACATTTTTCACAGAGGAAGGTTTCCTAAGAAGAAAACCATTGTTCACGCAGAGTTACGTGATGTAAATATTAAAAACATTTTTTTCTATTTAAATACTTAGCAAAATATTGTATTTTTCCTTGCTGATAAATCTAACATGAGCAAAAGAAAGGGTATTTCTCAGAAATGTCAACATACAAAATAATTCAGCTGAAAAACTATAATACAGTAAGGGAAACAATTCTATCCTAGGAACCTACCATAAGTTAACATCAGCAACAAAAAAGACTTCTATCAACATGAATTTAAATACTCTCGAAGTAAACAATTTCTGTATCTAATAACTGTAGCTGCTTTCTTTTACTAATGGAGGGGAATATAAACAAGAAGGCAAATGAAAGTCAATAACCATTCAATGACACACAGTAAAAATAAACTTATTACTCTGCAACTTATCTCAGAAGCTTAGAAAATGATAGGGCCAAGCCAGGTATGGTGGCTCACACGTGTAATCCCAGCACTTTGGGAGGCTGAGGCGGGTGAATTACAAGGTCAAGAGATCAAGACCACCCTGGCTAACATGGTGAAACCCTGTCTCTATTAAAAGTACAAAAATTAGGCCGGGCGCGGTGGCTCAAGCCTGTAATCCCAGCACTGTGGGAGGCCGAGGTGGGTGGATCACGAGGTCAAGAGATCGAGACCATCCTGGTCAACATGGTGAAACCCCGTCTCTACTAAAAATACAAAAAATTAGCTGGGCATGGTGGCGTNTACCCAGCTGTGCCACTGTCATAGGAAAGCGGCCACAGGTAAGACATAAATGAGTGAGCACGCCTGCATGCCAATACAACTCTATCTGCAAAAACAGGCCAACCTGACCCAAACTGGAAACTGTAGGTGACACACTATTAGCGGTCAATGAAAGCAGCACAGCAAACCTGAATACAGAGATCAGGGCGTGTAGTTTCATACGCTGTGGTCAAAATGATGCTGTTCACACACAGTCTGCCTGGTGATTTCCCACTGTCCCCCCAGGCCAGACTGCAGGGTAAGATGCGTCTACGCTACCAGTCACCTCAGAAAGTAACAGCATAAGCAGGGACACTTCCCCACAAGATTTGCACCAAAGAAACACCAGTGTGAGGAAGACAACGTCTGCAGCCCCATTCAAGGCATTTTACTCAACATATCATCACAAAATTTTACTGAAGTAGCAACTCTCGGTCTTAAAAAATAAAATGCCCACACAGGAATCGTGGCAGCTGCGAACCAGCTGACAGGCCCCAGCCAAACTTAAGCCCAGTAACCACCTGGGCCTCTTCACCAAGGCCACTGAGCCCCACACCCACTGGACGACAGGGCGGGTGGCCTCGTGAGGCCCACTCTACCCCTAAGCTCACTTCCTCCAGGGCAGCGGCCACGCGTGTCCTCGAGGGCCTGTCCGGGGTGGTGAGAGCTCTACATACCGTTCTCAGTGACAGCCAGGGTTTGAGCGTCCCCACTCCCACATGCCACGTCGATGACCTTCAGTCCTTTAAGCCCAGCCACCAGCATTGGAATGGCCTCATCCTCACTGGAGCCTTCAAACAGATATGATTGCTGTTACAAAGTCCCTTAAGAAGCCACCTCTGCTGCGTGCTCCTCCTCGTGCAGAGCAGACCTACCGTGGCCAAGCCGGCCGTAGTTCCCGCGGCCCCAGGTGTACAGCTCCCCCTCAGCAGTGATGGCTGCGCTGTACGTGCTCCCGCAAGCAATGTGCACCACGTGCTTCCCAGCCTGCTTTCCAGAGAAGGCAGAGATCACCTTAGGCTCCTCCAGAGGCCTTGGGGAGGAAGGAAACAAACATGAATGCACTTCTTCTTGGTGGTATTTCCTATTAGTGTTAGAAAACGATATTCACTATCCAAAATAGACCATCACAGCATCAGGCCAGTTTCACCTTTCAGGTACCTTATAAAAGAATAAAGAGAGAATTCAAACACCTAACACCTCCATGACTTTTTGTTAAGTTGGAACCAAATGCAAAGGATGGTATCCAGCAGAAATATAAAAACGATGTCTCTTAAGGACTTGGACAACAGGCCAGGCACAGTGGCTCATGTCTGTAATCCCAGCATGTTGGCAGGCAGAGGGAGGCAGAGCACCTAAGGTCAGGAGTTTCAGACCAGCCTGGCTAACATGGTGAAACCCCATTTCTACCAAAAATACAAAAAGTTAGCTGGGTATGGTGGCACGCACACGTAATCCCAGCTACTCAGGAGGCTGAGGCAGGAGAATCACTCGAACCCAGAGGCAGAGGTTGCAGTGAGCTGAGATTGTGCCACTGCACTCCAGTCTGGGCAACAGAGTGAGACTCTGTCTCAAAAAAAAGAAAAGAAAATAATAAATACTGTATGAGCACACAAAACTCTTAGTCATCAAGATATTAAAATGCTTTAAAATAAAACTAATGAGGAAAGGAACTGCTAAGTCTCACTTAAAAATCCCACTTCCAAACCCACTTGGTAAAGAAGCAAACACACAAATAATGTATATAGTACTAGGACCCAACAAACTCCAGCCCCAATACATAATGCGGCCCAAGGCCTGCTTTGTGAAGACACCTGTGTTGGAACACAGCAGGCCCACCTGCTTAAAATACAAACTGCCCACCCTTGAGAGACAGAACCCTTAAGAGTCCATCTGATGGCTGGTAGGCTCTTAATTGCTGCCTCAACTTCAGACCTTATCAAACACCACATGTTCTCACTCATAGGCGGGTGTTGAACAATGAGAACACATGGACACAGGGAGGGGAGCACTACACACTGGGGTCTGTTGGGGGGAAACGGGGGAGGGACGGGGGGGTGGTGAGGAGAGAGAGGTGGCATGGGGAGAAATGCCACATGTAGGTGAAAGGGAGGAAGGCAGCAAATCACACTGCCATGTGTGTACCTATGCAACAATCTTGCACGTTCTTCACATATACCCCAAAACCTAAAATGCAATAAAAAAAAAAAGAAGTCCATCTGATGTACCTCTCACTGCCTTCTCCCTTCTCCCCTCCTTTCTTGTCAACTTGCCTGCCCTTCACCAGCTCTCGAGTAGGATGAAGACTATCTCCCAAACACTAAGCCAAGTGGTTTGGAAAAATCCAGATTTACCTTAGAAAATCCCTCCATCATCACAGTTTTGATATTCCCCCCCCTCAGCTTCCTACAGCATAAAAGAATACCCTAGTAACCCTACCCTAGTAACCATAAAAGAATTTCAGGGTCTTCTTGTAGAGGCTCCCATCCTCTCCGCCCACACCGGCAGCTCACACTGAAGGCTCCAGCACTCATACCTACATACCTTGGCTTCCATCTGTTCCCTCCAACTACAGTGCATGCTGCACACCTTTGCAGCTGAGCAAGCAGTTCACATGAAAGTGCCCCAGGTGGACCCAATCCCACCTCCCAATGTGGGCCCACAGCACAGCGCACACTCACGGTCTCGGCGTGTCTACAGTGCAAGTACTGGTGACCTCACCACACAGAGAGAACCCTTACAGAGTCCAGCCTGCTGAGTGATGAATGGGTGCCTGCCACAGAAAGTGGCAATGTTTGTCAAACTGAATGGGCTTCAAATTAAGTTTGGTAAGAATAATTCAAAGTCACCTTTTAGTAGACACACCCACTTTCCAATTAGTATCAATACCTATACCAAAATGGCAGTAAAAGTTTCCAATGACAGGCTATTCATGAAATGTCAGGTGAAGAATATAAAACCTGTAAACTTTAAAATATTACTAAAGAAACTGTCCTGAAGGGTTTTAAAAGTTTCCGTTTGCACTCACCTTGCAAGCCTTCTAAGAGTTTTGGATAACGCACATGTTCCTCTGTTCCGTGTCCAAGTCTCTGGTTGTCACCTTTCCCCCATGAATACACTTGGCCATCTTTGGTCAAAGCAATGGAAAACTGACTTCCACAGCGGACTTTAACCACGTCCAAGTCTTGAAGCTTTTCAATCAGCTTTGGCGTTTTGCAGCCATCACTGCCACCTCTGCCCAATTTCCCATAGTCACCATCTCCCCAAGACCACACTTGCCCTAAAAAATACAAATGCATTTAAATAAAAACAACAGTGCATTTTAATGAAAAATTTTAAATGACTGAAAATAACATAATGAAAAAACGCACACTAATCTAGACCACCAATGTACATAGTTAACACCACAAGGGTGGCTACTGAGCAAATGAAATCTAGTTGACACTTGAGATTGATACAGACGCAGTAAAGAAAGGGAAAGCTAAGTTTTCTTTTTGTTTTCATTCCATGAAAAACAAAGTCCTGACTCTGACTAGCCTGGGCTCCACGTCAACTGCTTCACAGAAGCAAAGGCCCACTGCCTCCATAACACAGAGTAACTGGGGCCCAGGACACTACAGACGCCGTGGACCACCCTCCCGTTTGCCTGCCTGCTTCTGTTGCCACCGTGCTGCCCACTGGTCAGCGGTACCACTGTATGTGCTCCTAACTGCATATATCAGTCTAAGTACGTAAGTTGATCAAATATTACATAAAGGGATAAAATGCAATTGAAAAGCAAGTATTTTTATTTTTACAGTGAAAACTAAGCGGAAAACTTTGCCAAAACTTCATGAGAGTGAATTGCGAAAAAACAAAATTGTTAAGCTAGGCGCAGTGCCTCGTGCCTGTAATCCCAGCGCTGTGGGAAGCCGAGGCAGGTGAATCACTTGAACCCAGGAGTTCGAGATCAGCCTGGGCAACATGGTGAAACCCTGTCTCTACCAAAAACACGGAAATTAGCCAGGCACAGTGGCAAACATTTATAATCCAGCTGAGGCACGAAAATTGCCTGAACCCAGGAGGTGGAGGTTGTGGTGAGCCAAGATTACACCACTGTACTCTAGCCTGGGTTACAGAGCGAGACTCTGTCT